TTTTTGTGGAGATTATAGTAATTGTAGAGTTGAAATCATGAGTCAATTGAAGATAGACCACCATGGAAAACCTGGAAGCACTGGACGGCCGTTTCGTCCTATTGTGATACTCCTCAGCGGTGCGCATCCGCGATCCCGCCTCATGAGATTCGAACCCAGGACCTATCAGTTTCGCATGCCAGCGCTTAACCTCTAGACCACTGAGTTGGCCGGCATCCATCGGTAATAATGTCTAACTTCAACCAATCCACGAAATTGAGAAACCTTTCACCATCGTCTTCAGTGAGTTGATATCTCACAACAGACCTAATTGAACCTCACTGATCACTGCTTCTTATTAAAACTCCAAGAAATACCACTTGAAGATTTTAGTGAAGAAACTATAGTTTTGATTTGACTTTCCAAAATAAAGATATAGTACTTACCTGTCGAAATTGTATACAAAAAAAGGTAGTCTTTATCCAATTTGTTAGCTTATTATTGTCTCCCATAGAAAGGTATCAGTGTTCAATTGTCTCGGACGTGATTGTTCTTTCGTTTCCACAGCAATTATTCTTTTTTTCTTCAATCTTCTTAATATTCTACCTTTAGATATTTCATTTTCAATTGATGAAACATACTACTTATATCTATCAACATCAGTAGTACACACTATAGTTCTGATGTTCTTTATCTCCTTTAATGTTTTCATATGAATGTTTTCATGCTTGCTTTTCATATTTCAGATATTTATTTATTATTTATAAACTTATTTAAATGATCTGATGTGAAATGCCTTAAATATTCATAATCGCGAATGCTTAAAATACCCTTCCATAGGAACATGGTGAAGCCTAGTAGGCCCTTCTGGAGAAGAGTGCTACATCGAAGCATGACACAACTACTGGGGCTCAATAGTTGTTTTTGCATTGCTTACGCAAAATCATTACACATCACTTTCATTCTGTTTTTTTCGTTGTTTGGCAGACTCATTTTTTCTAACTTTATTGAATCCTCAATAATTATGCAATGACTCTTTATAGCTTTCGTAACCATTTGTGGGTATAGGTAGAGTGATTGATTAAGCCGATCTCCACCAACCGTGTTACCGCTCACGTTAGTACATGGATTAAGTGCCATGATCCAGGAAGTACGACGAGGACGAGTAAGTCGGATTTTGCCTCCCTCAACAAAATACATTCGTTCATATTTCTATTTGAATGAATACTTTTATAAACTGTGTTACCTGGTAAAACTTAATGTGATCTGATTGTAATTGTATTTCATAACTTGAAGATTATAATCGATTTTGTTGATCATTAAGATCATATCATGATGTTTTTCATTAAAGTGATTTGAGAATTACAGAAATTTAATAAAGACTCTTCATTTAAAGATGATGACTATATCTAAGTAAACTATACAGAATGCCTATATGTTAAAAAGAAACTGATTTATTGTAGTTTTAATAATCAATGGGAAGATTAGAATATTTTCGCAGTTGAAGTCATTAGTCAATTGAAGATAGACCACCATCGAAAACCTGGAAACACTGGACGACCGTTTCGTCCTATTATAGGACTCCTCAGACTGGTAGGTCCTGGGTCCGAATCTCGCGACTGAGGGATCGTGGATGCGCACTACTGAGGAGACCCACAATAGGATGAGTCCCAGATAGGACGAAGCGCGCGTCAAACAGAATTCCATTGCTAGCTACTATCCATCTGTGCTTACTATTTACTGAATAGTTATACAATAAGAATATACATAAATAATATTAATTCATTAATAGTTCTCAGAAGTTATTTATTATTTAATCTTCACTAGGTTACAACGAAGAGTTGAACAAACAATGTAATGAAATTTCTCTTTTTAAGTTATATAATCATGGATTACCTCATAGATTAAATCATCTTTAACCAAATCCATTTAAACAATAAACAAATCAATATTCATATATGTAGTTGAAATCATGAGTCAGTTGAAGTTAGACGACCATGGAAAACCTGAAAGCACTGGACAGCCGTTTCGTCCTAATATGGGACTCCTCAGACGTGTGCATCCACGATCTCGCCTGATGAAATTCAAACTCACAGTCTCGCGCTCAATCGCTCAACCTCTAGAACCACTGAGTCAGCACTACTGAGGAATCCCACAATAAGACGAAACGGCCGTCCCAATGCTTCCAGGTTTTCTATGGTAATCTAACTTCAATGGATTCATGATTTCAACTATATAATGTTCTATTATTAATTAATTATATTAATAATCAATAAAATATGATAACAAAATCAATAATTTTGTGTATATCTATTTTTCATTTTTTCTATTTTAACATGCAATTCATTCATTATCTTTTATCATATAACTAATATAATGAATAGAAATAACAGTAATATAATAAGTATATATACTAATAAAAAGAAAAAAAAAAGTGTTATATTCCATTCAGTTGACCTTAAATGATTATATTGGGTGTATGTGTGTGTGTGTGTGTATGCAGGGGGGGTTGTTGTTGGTGGTTAAGGTATTACCATTATATTCTCCAAGATAATTATTGTTTATATATATATACAATTGTATATGTAATGGTTTCCAATTGTATTATGATTTCATATTACATCATAACTATTGAATATTAGAAAGTATATGATGGTAGGTATGTTCTCCTTGTATGAAACATCTTAACAATGAAGATTCACAACTGAATTAATAGATATAGATCAGAAAAGGGTTTTGTGGAAAAATTTATTAATTTCATAGTTGAAATCATGAGTCAATTGAAGTTAGACGACCGTGGAAAAGCTGGAAGCACTGGACAATCGTTTTGTTCTATTATGAGAATCCTCTTTGGCAATGCGCATCCACGATATCAACTCACTGAAGATAATTGGTGAACGGTCGCTCAAAATCGTGGATTGGTTGAAGTTAGACATTAACATCTTTGGTTTATCGGTTAAGTGCTCGCGCGCGAGACTGGTAGGTTGAATCTTGCTAGGCGAGGTCGTGGATGCGCACTGCTGAGGAGTCACATAATAGGACGAAACGGCCTTACAGTGCTTCCAGGTTTTCCATGGTGGTATAATTTCAATTGAATCATCATTTCGACTATGAATTAAGATATTCAGAAGATTAACATTTAATCTTTAAGATTATTCAATCGGTATCTAATGGTTTAGACTATTGAATTCAATCATTTAGATATATCGAATCATCAGTTGTTGTTGTCGTTGTTTAATTCTTGTCAGTTTATGATGTGTCTATTCATTGTTCCTTACAGAGAATTACAATTATATTGTTCGTCGTCACAGTTAATATTGTTAAGAAACATATAATAATGATCGCCGTTTATTTATTTCAACACATAAATATTGATACAAAGAGGCACCACATATATATGTGCCACACAAATCTAATTTGATTTGTGTGAGGGCTGTGATACTGCCCAGATGCCCAAACTGACGCACGTGGTCTCCTTAGGGGGTCACACATGGAGCCTTGGACGTGAAGGTCTGATCCACAAGGCAGTGGTGAATCGTGAAGAGATGCGGTCTCATGGTAGCCGGTGACCAAAGATTGATTCATACGCCATTTGTTCCCTCAGGATACTGGAGCCCATGTGCACCATTGGTTTGGAATGGGGGTTTTCTGACTCCCCTAGGTAAACCCTCCGTGTCCACCAACCTGGTTAAGGCGCAGGACATTCGATTTTCGTCCTCTCAATTTCGTAAACAACAGTAATGCCACGAGAAGGCAGTGAGTAGTACTTCCCTGAAAGAGACTATAAACGCGTGGCCATGTGAGAGCATTTGGAGAGTGAGAGCGTACTCTCCCCACTCTTGGTCATACCAGAGCATTTAGGGGTAATGATTTCCATGTGTTTAGCCATGAGTATTGACTTATGGAAAAGTATTCATTTCAAAATATCCTTAATTTATTTGTCACTCATTTCTGAAGTACAAGTTTATTTAATTTCTCTTTATCTAAATCGTCTGTTTAAAAGTCAATAGTGATAATCGGTTAGCCATGTCCAATCACTAATCTTTTGACTCTGTGAATAAACTACCAGTTCAAAATATCGATAGAATTAGATTAGCATTATATGACTAAACGAACATGACAATGATTAGTGTTCATCGATCTATTAATAATAAATATCTTGGTTCTAAAAGATTTTATCCACTAATAGAATATCTGAATGGTAATATATCATGCTATAAAACTCGGTGATGCAGATTCGAGTCCCACAATAAACATTAATCCCCTCAAAATCACAGGTATGCCTTCCTAATGAGTTTAAACTAGCACTAGACCTAGGTCAAGCAAGGTTTCATGTTGGTTTCCTTCAACCACCGCCTTGGATCTCAATATAATTTACATTATGTCGAATGATTTCAGTTAGTGGCCATATTAAATCTCGATACACGGAACTCTATCAGCACTAATAAATAGACAAACATGACAACGGTCACTACTCGGTGACCAATCAACTTTATCTATTTTGCCACAGACTAAAATCAGTTAATTTCGTTCTATGATGAAAGACACCATTGAAATAGAACTGATCCCTACACAATCTTTTAAACAACAATCACAAAACAATTGGGTCAATCTAACAATCTTTTGAAATTAATATTTGCTTCAGTTAAGTCTAGTGTCAGGATTAGGATTCGAACCCATGTCCACAGATTGAACTGCTTTAGTAACACATCAATGGGAAGATTCAAACATACAATACTAAGTGAATTAAAACTTTACACCATTTCACGAGCAAGTGGCTATCAGGACTCAGTGGCCAAGTGGATAACTCGATGGCGCTTAAAGCGAAAGTTACTGGGTTCGAGTACCAGAATGAACATCAACGAGTCTGAGATGCAGGTACATCTTGCTGACGAGTCCGAAATAGGATGAAATGTGCGTCAATCTGGATTTCACTGCTAACCACTATCCATCTTTGCTTACCATAAATAAGAATGTTATTCTTGTTTGTTAAATTAGCTTTATATTCATTGATATTTCAGTATCTTGGACAGTGGTATGAAAATCAGTCAAAATCCGGCAATATTGACAATTCAGATATGAATAATAACGTCAACAATGTTATTGATGATACATGTGAAAAATTATTGGAAGGAATTGCTGAAGCCAAAACCACGATTGATTTATTTTTAAATAATCGATTTGAGGAAGCAAAGAATCGTTTGCACATGAAGTAATCGGAACCTTATTTTTTTTTTATACTAAATTCCTCTCTCTCTCCCTGTCTCTCTCTTCTCAAGTACACATAGTGGTATGTATCAGGAATTATCAAATTCTACAATATTATTTATTCAAGGAATGGCTACCATAGAACAGGTAAGTTGTGAAATGTTTTCATGATGTGTTGTATAATATCAAAGTTGCTGAGGAGTCTTATATTAAGACTAAATGGTCATCCAATGCTTCCAGGATTTCCATGATGGTCTGGCTTTAATTGACTTATGAATTCAACTATTAAATTACTATAATACACACAAAATCCCTTTCTGTTGTATTGTTTATCAACTAATTTAAACCCATGTTTTGTGAATAAACACTTGAAGGGTGGCATTCATATCGATGTTGATATGGTGAGACTATAATTTATGAACGACCTTTGAACGAATCTAATATGACCTTGAGAAATGTTAGCCAATCAGTAAGCAGTCAGTATAGAGTAAAAATATATACAAAACCAAATAATTAAAGTAGATACACTTCTTGTATTTGGTTCAAAAACTTGTCAAGGTTAGAAAGAGGTTCAAAGTTTCCGAAATCGTAATGCATAAGGTAAAGGAACTCCTCCATGTCGCTTCATAATAGTTGATCTCCGGAACCATGATAAGGTCACAAAAACTCTCTCAGCGTCGACCACATAGCTTCATTATTGTTTGTGTGTACTCCGGTTGTATAAGTTTATCATTTTTATTATGGATATCTCCCTACAATATTCATACCATTGAACTGCCAAAGCTTCTGTAACATCTGCGACTATTGCAGCCAATGTTACTGGCGCTTTTACTATGCAGTTCGCAGTAATTATTATAATATGCCTTAGTCTCAATCTAGATCGAGCGATAAAGGTTCCTATTCTACCAAACGTCTTCCTTCAACATATATTACATCGAAGGATAACATCAAGATAGTCTGCACAAGGTCTACAAGTCATTTAATACCCGCAATTACAAATACAGGAACTGCTTAGTAGTCTCATTTGTTGTAGGCGCCTTATTGTCAAGTCTTCTTTATAATTCTCTGTGAACCGATCGTATATGAGCATCAGATACTGAAATCGGCGCCGTGATCTTGAAATTCCTCAAACGCTCCTGATTGGCTCGTCCATAAATTATAGTCTCGCCGTTGATATCAGTTGAAATGAAACACAAGACAAACGAACCTGGTAATTGGCTGCTGTTTACGCTAGCGAATTCCATAATCGTAGATTTCATTTAAGGTGTTCTGAAGACAACTTGTACGGGGTAACTGATGCTCTAACTGTCTATTAATACAACTCTGAAGAATGTTGGTTTTTTTATCATAAACTGAGATTTACTGCATCATCATGTTTGATGTGAACAGAGGACAAATACAAACAACAGATGACATAACTTTCGATGCAATCCATCAGAAACATCCGTTGATTATAACTCATCATGATGAGGTCACATATGGGAATATGTAAAAATTGTTGTCCACAGGGATTATCTTACCAGGAGGTATTACACTGTTGTGAATTGCTGAAGTTTGTATCACCGTTATGTGCTTGGATTTTTAAATGTAGATACATACTTGTAATACATGGCTTAACATTTGTAAAAACTCATAGGATATCATGATGAAATATTATGATCTGGATTGGATTCATTGAAATAAATGGCTTAATGGAAAGCTTCTCATGTCTCTAGGGGTTTCCCATTAAGAGTCACACACTGGAAAAAACAGTTATATATTTCTTTTTTTACTTCACGAGTATTTAAACCAATCATTTATATTACATCAAGAGTGTACACTGAAGATCACAACAAGTAGTATAGAACCAGATAGTTCCATTATCATGGTAGATACGTCGCTTTTAACCTACTGATTCAGAGCTCAATGGTCGACTCATCAGTATTGTTTAAAAACTTATTGTGTTATATATTAAATTGATTGAGTCTAGAGATGTGCAGTGCCATATGATGAGACAGGTATTCAAAATTGTTATATTCTCCAGAAATCTCTTGTGTATGCTCCACTGAGAATTTACAAACGAGTAGGAAACTGATGTTCAGTGGTCTTTCAGTTGATGTCTGTACGTTAACTACAAAAATTAACTTCATATTTATTTATTTATTTAAACACATGAATATTGGTACAAAGAAGCACCAGATATATATGCACCGCGCAAATTTTATTTGATTTGTGTGAAGGCCATGATACTGCCCAGGTGCCCAAACTGAAGCAAGTGGTTTTCACACAGGGCCACACCCAGAGCCTTTGACCTAAAAATCTGATCCACAAGGTAGTGGAGCATCGTGAGGAGATGCAGTCCCATGGTAACCGATGACCAACGATTGATTCATACGCCATTTGTTCCCTCAGGATACTGGAGCGCATGTGCACCATTGGTTTGGAATCAGGGTTTTCCAACTCCCCTAGGTGGATGGTTCATATCCACCAACTCGGTTAAAGCGCAGGACATTCACTTTTCACCGTCTCGATTTTGTAGACAACACTGGTGCCACGAGAAGGCAGTGAGTATAACTTCCCTGGTAGAGGCTATATACTTGCCATGTGAGAGCATTTCGAGAGGGAGAACAGACTCTACCCACTCTCGGCCGTACCAGGGCATTTGGAGGCACAGCAATGAATGAAAGTAAATCTATGAACAACAGCCCACTTGTACTACAACATGGTCAGCTGAAATCTAAACATGAATGTTAGCTAAGTAGTATCATAGTACATTGAATATGAGAAACATAAATCGGTTGTTTTCATCCATAATATATATCCATATTCTCATGATGTTATGTCTAAATGCTTCATTAAGGTACATTCACCTGAAACCTTTCACTAAGGATCAAACGTGCCACCTAGATTCCTTCAATGACTGCTTACTTCATATTCCTTAAAACCTATGATCATAGTCTATATTATATTATCAAAGTAATGATATGATTGAAGACATGTCGTGGCGTTTGACTTCTAGTTGATGTTTATGCCGGCGAAGATGTGAAGGAGGCGTCCACTTTGTCCGATGTAGTGTTTGTCGCAGTTAGTACAATTTATTTTTTAGATGACGTTTAGTTTGTCTTCTTTTGTCATTTCATCTTTTGGTTTGTATAAGATTGAGTGGAGAGATTTTGTTGGTATGTAGGCAACACCTATTCCGAAGTTTTTCAACTGCCTCGTTGTCGTTTCCGATATACCTTTTATGTATGGTAGGGTTATGCCTAAAAACTAGAAATTATCAAAGTAATCCGCTTAACAGTCAATATAAAGCAATAAAGGTCGATCACAAATACAATGGTTAATAGTAAAAAAACTATTGGATACAGAGAAAGTAACTCATATTTACTGACAGAATAAATGCCGGAATAATTATTATATTAATCTCTCTCTATATATTTAGTAACAAACAAAGAATCACTGACCAATTATATGAGTATGATCATATGACAGTTACTAAAAATCCTATACACATACATATTGGTTAACAGTAGAATGAATCAATTATTATTAGTTACTGATTTCATAATCAAACAATTAGCTGTTTTATTGATAGAGTTAGTCAGTATAGTATGTATTAGTAATATGATAGTTTAATTAAATGTTTTCTGTTGAATAAACTATCTTTTAGTATACGATTGGAAATGAACAATCTATAACAAAACAATCAGTGGATTTGGTAGATATATTGAATCCTTTTTCATAGTTGAAATCATGAGTCAATTGAAGCTAGACTACCATGAGAAGCCTGGAAGCACCGCTTGACGGCCGTTTCGTCCTATTATGGGATTCCTCAGTGGCAATGCGCATCCACGATCCTGTCTCGTGAGGTTCGAACCCAGCACCTCCTGATTTCAACTATGAAAATAATGAAATCTCCATAAAATTCCATTCTGATTTAATTTTTTGTTTAGATAACAGTATTGAGTTATATAAGCAAAGATGGATAGTGGCTAGCAGTGGAATCCAGAATGCGTATTTCGTCCAATTCGGGACTGATCAGCTGGATATACCTACATCCCAGAGTTGATGTTCACTCTGGGATAGTTAATTGGGAAAAATGATTAAGAAATTCATTGTAAAACATAGGATCAACTCAAAAAATGCTTAGTAGTTTAACCTTAGTTATACTGTGGTGTGGTCTACTTATATCCATATAAGTAGTATATGGTGATGATTAGACATAGAATGTATTTTGGCAGATGAACGATAAGGAAAGAACTAAAATGAAGAGCGATTGGTAGGAAAATACATAAGCAATGAAATTAGAGAAGATGGGTTGATGTTTAGAGAAGGAACAGTGAAGATTGAGACCATTGACTGTTATTTTGCAAATTAACTGTTTGCTGTATGGTTATCACAATTTAGTGAGACAGTCTGAAATTCGTGCTTAAATACATTCGATTGCCCCCACCAGTGTTCTGTTCACTACGATATTATACAATAATAATAAGGATAACTAAATTCACATAGTATTATTTATTTGAATCTTCCCATTTATGTTTAGGACTGCAACTGGTTAGTCTCTAATTGGCATACGTGCATACTGTGCGTATTGCCTTGATATAGTCTTTATTCACAAGCATTGTAAGCAAAGATGGACTCAGTAGCTAAGTGGATGACGCGATGGCGTTAGAAGCGAAATGTACTGGATTTGAGTCTGAGAATGAGCATCAACTCTGAGATGCAGATATATCCAGCTGACGAACCCCAAACAGGATGAAACGTGTGTCAAAATGGATTCCACTGCTAGCCAATATTCAATAAAGATAACTGTTAGACAAGATGAATACAACTTTTGTTCTTTCAATGTATTAATGATGTGATTCCATTGTCATCGAGTTCAGATATTAAGATTCTAACGTGAAAACTAAGAGAAAATTGAATTTAATGGTGCCATTTCTGGATAGATGTAACTTTTTTGTCTGTATATCAACATAGTGCATGTGTCTCAATTATATACCATAAAACACATGGGTATTTCACTTTATATTTATCATTTCCAAAAACAAATCATTTGGTGATTTAGCATGGCAACAATCTAGTTTACTTCTCGCATGTCTCAACTCGATCAACCAGGACTGATGGGACTCATCTAAAAGTAATTGAGTATCGGTAAATGTAGTTGAACCATATCAGGAGCCAAACAGTTGTCGACAATGATTAAAGTTGGCGATTTTTACCGTTGAATTTCAACTAAATAGTTTAATGGTACAGAGTATATCGAGATAACAGGGTGGTTCTGAGTTTGTTCACTTGGTAGGTCTTAGATACACACACTGCTAAAAACAAGACAACCATTCAACAGTATATAACTGTCAATTGTACTCAAAAAGGATTTCAGTCTATAATAAATATCATCTACAAATCAAATTGACCTTTTTACCAACCTTTTTCGTCAAAATAATAATTTCAGAAAGGGTTTTTGTGTATATTATGCTAATTTTATTGATTGAGATCATGAATCAATTGAAGCTAGACCACCACGGATAACCTGGAAACACTGAAAGGTACTGGACTCATGATTTCAACTATGAAAATACTGAAATCTCCACAAAACCCCTTTTTATCTATAATCATATGCTCACTAGTGATTGACTTCAAGGGATGTTTCCTTGAGTTCTAGTGGGAAGTAGTGACCAGTGGATTTCTGCCAAGTCTGATGTAGAGATATCAACTCGCTGAAGACAATTGGTGAACGGTCGTACAAAATCGTGGATTGGTTGAAGTTAGACATTAACACCGTTGGATGCCGGCTCAGTGGTCTAGATGTTAAGGGCTCTGGCGCGAGGCTGGTAGGTCCTGGGTTCGAATCTCGAGAGCGTGAGACCATGGATGCGCACTGCCTAGGAGTTCCATGATAGGATGAAACGGCCGTTCAGTACTTCCAGGTTTTCTCTGGTGGTCTATCTTCAATTAATTCATGATCTCAACTATTAAAATAATGACTGCTAAATATATATCCATATTTCTTCTTCTAGGAAAATCTTGAATCTGCTAAAGAACAATTAAAAACAACACTTAAAGCATGTCAAGCTAAACGACGAAAAGCAGCTATTAGTGAAACATTTATTAAACAAACAGAAAAAAGTCGTAATACCATTTATGGTTTATATACAGATGGTAAGTAACTTCATATGACTATTTCATTATTTATAGTAACTAATGAATAATTTTGATAAACATGATTTTAGTATTTATTTGAGTTTTAGCTAAAATTATTAAAAAAATAAAGATTAATGGATACATGTTTCATATAAATGTGCAGTTACTTACTTATCTGCCTACGCCTGTTACCCCCTCCCCCCCCAATGGAGCTGCCAGCCAACAATCTCCAACCCACTCTGTTATGGGACTTGCTTCCTAGTTCTATCCAGTTGTTGTTCATTCTTCTCATGTCTGTCTCCATTTCTCGGTGTAATGTGTTCTTTGATCTTCCTCTTTTCATTTGGCCCTGAGGGCTTGTCTTGTGACGCATTTGGGTGACTTCCTCAATGTGTGTCATATCCACTTCCAGGATTTCTTCCTGATTTCCTGCTCCGCTAGAATTTGGTTTATTCTCTTTCACAGTAGAATGTTGCTGATAGTGTCTGGTCAACGGATCCGAAGTATCTTGAGTAGACAACTGTTAATAAGCACCTGTATCTTCTGGATGATGACCTTCGTAGTTCTCCACGTCTCCTTCCCATACAGTAGAACTGTCTTGACATTTGTATTAAAAATCCTGACTTCGGTGTTCGTTGATAACCGTTTTGAGTTCCAGATGTTCTTCAGTTTTAAATATGTTGCTCTTCACATCTGCATCAGCTCCACCATGTTCATCAATGATGTTGCTCAGATATGTAAAGGTTTTCACATCCTTCAAAGCTTCTCCTTCAAGTGTAATTCGATTGGTGTATGTTGTGTTGTAACTGAGAGTCTTGCTTTTCCCTTTGTTTGCATTGAGACCTATTGCTGCTGAGGCTGATTCTACACTGGTCGTCTTCTCCTACATTTGTTGTTGCGTGTATGATAGAAGAACCAGAACATCTGAAAACTCTAGATTATAAACCTGCATCCTAGCTGTCCATTGTATCCCTTGTTTTCCCCCAGATGATAACATGTATTATTTCTCAATATTACACATAAATGATTCTAACAGGTATCGAATTTAGGATAGTATGGTCAAGTGACAATTGTGGATAAATGTAATAACCTATTTGAACTGAATAACATGTATATAATGGTGTATATTGGATACAAGTTTTATCATTAAATCTAGAAATATCCATTTATAAATGATGAAAGAGGTATATGGTAAATTATGATCATGTAAAAATGAAAGTAACCAACATGACATGGTAAATATACGATACCATACAACTCATTGTATTGTTTGAAATGGAAGGTAATACATTTGAGTAACATTAGAACTGAAAAGTAGATTCATTCAACTTATAGTTTGTAATCTATCTGTTCCCCAAAAGACGACCTCTTAACAAAATAGATATGTCTGTGTAATTCATACAGGATACACATACGCCAGCGAAGATTGGTCAAAATTCAGAATTGAATATTAACAAAGAGATGATTTAAATCCTTGCTGATAATGATGTAAACACCATGTTGTACATCCATTTACCTTAGTGTATATGTTATTTAGTTGAATTCCAGGGTCTCAGCAAATAATTAGGTTATTATGTAAAAGTTTTCACTGACGAGACTACAATTTATGGACGAAACCAATCAGATTTAGGATAGCAGGTCTAGGATTTCGATGCCAAATTCATTCATCCATTTAGTAAAACACAGTTATGACATGCTAGCTGATATCAGTTCGTGATGAAAACCCTTAATCTAATTCCTACCCTTAATCATCAACTGTAAATAATTATTGTAATTTTTATAGAGTTGAGATCATGAGTCGATTGAAGCTAGATCAACATGGGAAATCTGGAAGCACTGGACGGCCGTTTCCTCTTATTATGGGACCCCTCAGAAGTGCGCATTTTACGATCCCGCCTCGCTAGCGAGATTCAAACTCAGGACCTACCAGTCTCGCGCCAGAGCACTTAACCGATAGACCACTGATTCGGTCGGCATCCAACGGTGTTAATGTCTAACTTCAATCAATCTATGAAATTGAGCAACCATTCAACAATGTCATCAGTCAGTTGATATCTCCCAACAGACTTGGTTGAACTCTACTGGTTACCGCTTCTCACTAGGACTCCAGGAAATACCTCATGGAGCCAGTCACTAGTGAGCACATGATCATAATCGAATCTCGCGAGTGCGGGATCGTGGATACGCATTGCTGAGGAGTCCCATAACAGGACGAAACGGACGCTCAGTGCTTCCAGGTTATCCATGGTTGTCTAGATTCAATTGACTCATAAATTCAACTACTAAAATAACCATAATATCCACAAAACCCCTTCTCATAATCGTAATTCCTTATATTGATTTGTAACTCTCATTTGATCCTAGTTACTAGGTGAACAATTTGAAGATTAATTCAACATCATTCAAAGGTCATCCATAAATTATAGTCTCATCACATTGTTGTTTTTTTTCTTCCAATTTTCTAGAACAGGCTCATGCTGAACTTTGTTATGCAGAAGGTTTACTTCAATTAGCATTTCTTTCAATGTTACAAGATGAAAAATTAACAAGCCTTATCAAATGTTCTTTAAAGATAAGACAATGTTATAAATGTTATCGGTTAGTTATTGAACTGTTTTATTGTGTATCACTTACTTACTTACTTACTTACGCCTGTTATACCTCGTGGAGGAGCATAGGCAGCCCACCAGCATTATTGTGTATAGAGTTAATGAAAGATTATTGTCAGTAAGTGATTTACTTGGGTTTCTGATGAATTAAAACATTTCAGTAAGATGTCTATCGACTTGGATAGCTTAGCAGTAAAATCTAGTTATGAAAATGAGCAATGAGGATCCGAATCCCACAAGAGTCATCAATCACTTAAATCTTACTAAAGTGTATTCACTAACAGAAAATCTAGGTTAAGCTAGAATGCCTGTAAATTATTTCTATAGATATCATATTCACAAATAATGCACGTTGTTTCTAGCTATTTATCCAATCAATAGGATTCATTTAAGATTGGTTACTCAGTGTAAGAAATGAGTGTTCAATAGGCTGGTCAAGTCTGTTTAAGGCTAAATATGAAGTGAGAGATATTCATGAGTCTATGCGATTTCGGAAAACTCGACTTCATTATCTGAGGGATATAGACGCTGTTGGTTGAAATTTAGTTTAATTCATCTTAGGGAAATATATCTGTATTTATGAATGAGTTTGTTCATATATTGTGGATTTGATCTATCTAAAACAGTCCCTTACTCATTCTTGATCTATCCGGAGAGACTATAATTTATGAACGACCTTTGAGCGAATCTAATATGACCTTGAGAAATGTTAGCCAATCAGTAAGCAGTCAGTATAGAGTAAAAATATATTATACAAAACCAAATAATTAAAGTGGATACACTTCTTGTATTTGGTTCAAAAACTTGTCAAGGTTAGAAAGAGGTTCAAAGTTTCCGAAATCGTAATGTATAAGGTAAAGGAACTCCTCCATGTCGCTTCATAATAGTTGATATCTGGAACCATGATATGGTCACAAAAGCCCTCTCAGCCTCGACCACATAGCTTCAATATTGTTTGTGTGTACTTCGGTTGTATAAGTTTGTCATTTTTATTATGGATATGTCCCTACAATATTCATACCCTTGAACTGCCAAAGCTTCTGTAACATCTGCGACTATTGCAGCCAATGTTACTGGCGCTTTTACTATGCAGTTCGCAGTAATTATTATAATATGCCTTAGTCTCAATCTGGATCGAGCGATAAAGGTTCCTATTCTACCAAACGTCTTCCTTCAACATATATTACATCGAAGGATAACATAAAGATAGTCTGCACAAGATCTACAGGTCATTTATTACCCGCAATTACAAATACAGGAACTGCTTAGTAGTCTCATTTGTTGTAGGCGCCTTATTGTCAAGTCTTCTTTATAATTCTCTGTGAACCGCTAGTATATGAGCACCAGGTACTGAAATCGGTGCATTGATCTTGAAATTCCTCAAACGCTTCTGATTGGCTCGTCCATAAATTATAGTCTTGCCTGAACTTCTCGTCGGTGCATTAGGCTTTGTTGTTAAACAGCCGTTGAATCCTGTTTGATTATCTAGATTGGTCTTAAGGTTGTATAGTTAGAGCTTTATTTTCTATATGACTGACGTATTCAAGATTGGTCGGTCACTGAGTAGTAGTCAGTGTTATAAGCATCTAAACCTTAAGTACTAACCTAGTTATATCGGTCAAGTTAAGCCGTAGTCACCAGTCTAAAGACTCAACATCATGTGCAAAATGTTAGGATATTATGTTGTTACAGTTAGTCGTCTGGATAACTTAGTCTATAAATGTGAACAGCGACGAAATCTTGTCGTTTTCACTACTACTTGGAACTGTCAAACATCTAAGGGTTTATCATTAGTCACAAATTCAATTGATTTCATCTAACCCCATGAATGAAACTATTAACAAGTGTCATATTATTTTATTTATTGACTAGTACAGAATATGTTGGAGAATATTGAAATATCGAAATTGGCAAAATGAAATTAGTAAATCAGCTTTTGAAAGTGGTGTACATTTAGGTGTTGGAGCTTTTAATCTAGTAAGTTATTTTTTTATTTATTTTTATCTGCTATTGATATTCAGAACCTATGATGATGATGATGATACATTAATCACGGCCACGCGTATATAGCCTCTGTCAGGGAAGTCCTACTCACTGCCTTCTCGTGACATTACTGATGTTTATGAAATTGAGAGGACAAAAAGCGAATACAAGGCGCTTTAATCGGGTTGGTGAACATAGAAAGTTCATCTAGTGGAGTTGGAAAACTCTCATTCCAAACCAATGGTGCACATGGGCTCCAGTATCGTGAGTGAATAAATGGCGTATGAATCAATCGTTGATCGCCGGCTACCATGGGACTACATCTACTCACGATGCTCCACTGCCTTGTCGATCAGATCTGTAGGTCAAAGACTCCGAGTGTGGGCCCCTAAGAAAATCGTTTGCTACAGTTTGATCACCTGGGCAGTATTACAGCCCTCATACAAATCAAATGAGATTTGTGTGGCGCATGTATATCTGGTGCCTCTTTGTACCAATATTTATTTGTTGAAATAAATAAATAAACATAACTCATTAACTTGGCAGACATTGAAATTAGTCGAACGGCTTAGTCGTTGAAACATTCACTTTGTATGGAATCTATGTAGACATGCATAAATAAGTAGCATGATAAATTATTATATAATATAATCATTGTTTCAGCTTGAAGCACAAGATGATATACTTAGTGATTATTAAGTCTCACTATTGTAACATATGCTACTTATGTCGATTGATATGAGTAGTATGTAACATCAATCAAAAATGAAGAACTTAGTAGAAGAAGATTGAGAAGATTGAATAGAAAGAATTGAACAAAAAGTAATAGATACGGAAATGAAGAAACAATAAGGTCTGAGACAATTAATGGAGATTTCACAAATAAGGGATTGAATGTATGATTTTTACATTTTACCAAATGACTGTAATTTATATCTGTCAGTTAGTCTTGAGTTCTGTTAGAGGTATGAGGGCAGTTGACACTTCCCAGTTGCCCACACCATGGAAGGGTTCTTATAGAGGTACCTGAAAAGAAAATTGGATTGGAAATGGTCTTAATGGCCTGAGAGCGTGACCACAGTGCACAAGGGACAGCTGCTTGAGGTCGGTCATACGCGACGTTTTTGTGTTAGCTCCATACTTGTTGAGACCTTACCGCCGGAGACGTATGTCCGTGGGATAAGGCAAGGTGTGCATTTTTAGGGTCGACCTTCTTTAACCTCACCCCTCCTTGTGGGAAGGCAGCATAACTGTTATGCTGGTTGTCTGAAGGAAACACCTTACCGCTACCACAACCCTTTACAGTCAGCAGTACAACTTCGCCTTCTAACCTTGAGTTGCTGCTTTTAGTCTAACCGTTTCGCAATCGACCTACCTGGCATATTACAACCTACAGGTGTGGTGTTGTCTACTTATATCCATATAAGTAGTATATGGTGTGAGTCAGACATAGAATGTATTTTGGCAGTAGACCGATGAGGGAAGAACTGAAATGAAGCGCAATCGTTTGGAAAATGCACGAACAATGGAATTAGAGAAGAAACAGTGAAGATTGAAACAATTGGTTGTTAATTTGCAAATTGACTGTTCATTGTTTGGTTATCAGAATTTACTGAGATAGTCTGTAATCTTTGCTTAAATACATTCGATTGTCCCCAACCGGTGTTTTGTTCACTACATTTGGTGTCGCTGCCAACCGGGAGGAGGAAGGGTGCTGTTCTGCGGACGCCGCTGCGGGTCTGGATTTGAGGTGCTTGTTGGGGCAGTCTGGTGCGGAGTGGTGGCGTCGAGTGGAGTGTTCTGGCGGGGCGGCGTTGGCTGTAGCGGGTGCTGTCGACGGAGAGGAGCAGTGGGACGTGCGGCTGCTGGGCGGACATCGGATGTAGATGGCTCAGCAGGCCGGTGGAGTACGGGTGTTGAACGTCCCAGGTGCCGGGTGGTTGCGGATGTTGGTGCCCCGGCAAGTCGACGGAGCTATGGAGGTCAGCGCGCCGCAGACTCGACATTCTGACGGAGAGTTTGGCACAGACTGCAGTGAAAGAAGATAGTGGCATGGCGAGCAGAACCACCGCACGAACGAATGCTTTAAAGGAGGGACGAGTGTGGTGTTGTCTACTTATATCCATATAAGTAGTATATGGTGTGAGTCAGACATAGAATGTATTTTGGCAGTAGACCGATGAGGGAAGAACTGAAATGAAGCGCAATCGTTTGGAAAATGCACGAACAATGGAATTAGAGAAGAAACAGTGAAGATTGAAACAATTGGTTGTTAATTTGCAAATTGACTGTTCATTGTTTGGTTATCAGAATTTACTGAGATAGTCTGTAATCTTTGCTTAAATACATTCGATTGTCCCCAACCGGTGTTTTGTTCACTACACAGGAACATATGTTCCAGCCAATATAGCTCGGTTGGGTCATCACGATAGGCGAACCCGACCACCACGTTAAGGTAGCAGCAACGGTCTGGAAATAATCATCTAATCTTATTAGTAGAATCTATAATGCCATAGAATGTAGTACATATGATATGAGTCAACAGATTTGTCTAAAACATACTCTAGTAGTACTGAAGAGAACAAAAATGTAATTAAAGAGTAAGTGTAATAACATTAGGAATGAAGGCATGATGAAGTTTATAAGAGGCAACTGATAGATGTGCATTAAACAATAAATTGGTCTTCTCCACTAGTATTCTACCTTTGCTTCATTTATAATGTACAGGAACAAGAGCTAAACTGTAAACACATGTCATGATATTGTTTTAGAATAAGAATACATCATATAGGAGTGCGCGAATTGATCATGGTTGTATACAAACACAATAATTAGTTATATAAGTATTTTACCAGTCACTTGTTTTGTCATCATCATCATCATCATCATCATCATCATCATCATCATCATCATCATCATCATCATCATCATCATCATCATCATCATCATCATCATCATCATCATCATCATCATCATCATCATCATCATCATCATCATCATCATCATCATCATCATCATCATCATCATCATCATCATCATCATCATCATCAAATTTGAAAGACTACAGGAACGAACAGTTACGATCTAATCACAAATCCAATTGTTAGAATAACATTGTTTATAAAAATTTGTCAACAAAAAGTTGTGTTCATGAGTCAACTGAAACTAGACCATCATGGAAAACATGAAAGCATTAGATGGCCGTTTTATCCTATTATGAGACTATTCAGCAGTGTGCACTCACAATACCACCCTACGCGATACGAGTCTAGGGCCTATCACTGTCGCACACGAACGCTTAGCCAGTCAGTCAGCTACAACTTAGGATCAAGCGCACATATGCATCAGTCCAAGTTGCCATATTTCGTTAGCACAACAAGATGAACACCGAATTCATAGAAGTAGTTAATTTGTGATCGATTCTGAGCCATGTCATCTAGAGTCTCCAACCATTAGTTACGATAGTCACGTAGACTCCAACCAAGTAGTCTGCATCTAACAACATGTCTCAGACTAGAAGTTAGTGATTTCAAGCTCTGAAGCCACGAACGCTTAACCTCCAGAACACAAAACCGGTCTGTATCCAAAGGTGTTAATATCTAACTTCAACCGATCCATGAACTCAACTATTCAATTACTAAGATTTCCACAGAATCCCTTTCCGAAACAAGAATTGTTTATTGTTTTTAATTGCAAAGTAAAATATAAGTCAAATTTATATAACCTTTTTTATTGTCCTATTTTTATAGATGATCTCTATGCTTCCTAGACGTGTCTTAAAATTATTGGAATTTGTTGGATTCTCTGGAGATCGTGTATGTTCTAAATAATATTTTATTAATTTTTGCTCTTTTTCTTTTATAACATCTCGTTAGTTGCCATGACGTTTATTTACTTGAAAAAAGATTACTTGCTTACTTACTTACGCCTGTTACCCCTCGTCGAGGAACATAGGCCGCACTCCAGTATTCTCAATCCAACCCTGTCCTCCGCAATTATTTGTAGTACTTTCCAGTTAACATTCATCCTTTTCATATCTGCTTCTTTTTTCCGGAGTAACGTGTTCTTTGGCCTTCTTCTTTTCCGCTTCCCTTTAGAATTCCAAATTAGGGATTGCCTCATGATGCAGTTTGGTGATTTCCTTAGTGTATGTTTGATCCACTTCCAACATCTTTTCCTAATTTCCTGCTGGTTTGTTCTCTCCCATAAAACGCTATTGCTGATAGTATCCGGTCAGTGAATGTTGAGTATTTTGCGTAGACAACTGTTTATAAATACATGTACCTTCTTGATGAGTTCTCCACGTTTCAGCTCCCTAGAGTAGGACTGTCTTGAAGATCCGCACTTTGAGGTTAGTTGACAGTTGTTTTGAGTTCCATCTATTGTCCGACTGTAGAAATGCTGCCTTTGCTATGCTAATCCTCGCCTTTACATCTGCATCCGATCCTCCTTGTTCATAGATGATGATTCCCAGGTAGGTGAATGTTTATACCTCTTCCAGAGTTTCGCCATCAAGTGTGATTGGGTTGGTTTTCTCCGTGAGAGAATCTTGCTTTTTCCTTCATGTATGTTGAGGCCTATTGATGCAGAGGCTGCTGTTACATTTGTTGTCTTCATCTGTATTTGTTCATGTGCATGAGATAGGAGGGCTAGTTGAAAAAATATAGTTAACTGAAAAAAACTTACCGATTGATTTAGATGGGTTTTTTTTGTAAGTTTAGTTCATAAATAATTCTTGTTATATGTATATTGATCTTAACTAGTAAACAAATAATAGTTGCAACCGTGAGTCAATTGAAGCTAGACCACCAAGGAAAATCTGGAAGCACTAGACGGCTGTTTTGTCTTGTTGTGGGACCCCTCAGAAGTGCGCATCCACAAAACCCCTTCTGATAATAAAACTAATAATAATTGAAAATACTAGAAACAGTTAATCAATCGCTTTTGGTATATATGCGTGCTATAAGGACTGCCTTGATATTGCTTCCAAGTTGTAAACATTATAAATAAAAATTGATAATTGATAGGGGTGGAATTTTGGTTGCACTTTTCTTTCTATATGGAACTCTCCAGTTACATGTATCTATATTCAAGAGTTGATGCTCAATCCGGAGCTCTAAAACAATGATGCTTACTCAAATGAAGGAAAAGTTAACTAAGTTGACCTATTCTATGTGCATTTACAAGTTCAGCTGCTGTGGAGATAACTATATCGTGCGTACTACCGGGCAACTTAAACAACGAATGAGTGACCATCTACCGGCATGGTTTGGGAAGAGGCAGATAAAAACAATACTCACATGTAATTGATAGTGATCATAATGTAGATAAATCGAAATCATTTCAAGTGATCTATCGCATACCTTCATCATTTTCTAACGGAGTTCATACCTGTCTCATTCATATAACTGAAGCCATAAGAATTCGTACATTTCACCCTCATTTATATGTACAGAAGAAATTTGTAAACTCCCCTATCCTTTCCATGACCAGATATAAATTTTACTTTTAGTGTTGTTATCGTTAACATTATTTTCACATCCGCTGTTTGTATGTAATTTTCTGCCTCTTACCGTTTGTATTCTTCACTATTTAACTGTTACTCCTCGTGGAGGAGCATTGACAGCTCACCAATCTAATGATTTCCACAATTCTTATTACGTAATGATTTCAATGTTTTTGTGAAAAATCTGAATCGTCCAGTTTCTAACTCAATAGTCTAATGATAACATAACATCATATAGTTCTAATAGAGCTGTTAATGCTTATTACAGTAAAGTGTTATCTTAACATGAAATAACCATTTAGTTTCGTCCTATAATGGAACTCCTCAGCAGTGCGCATCCACGATCCCGCCTCGCGAGATTCGAACCCACGACCTATCAGTCTCGCGCGCCAGAGCCTAACCTCTGGACCATTGAGCCGGCCGATATCCAAAAGTGCTAGTGTCTAAATTCAACCGATTCACTAAATTGAGTAACACATCCATACGCCTGTATCTGTTTAGATGTAATTCGATTTGATGAGAAAATTTTCGGAAAAATCTATCATGATATATTTTGATTAGGAGAAAAAACAATAATGAACATTGCTGAGGAGTCTCACAATGGGACGAAACGGACTTTCAGTAATTCCAGTTTTTCCATGGTGGTCTAGCTTTAATTGACTTATGATCTCAATTATGAAAAAATTGAAATCTCTACAAAACCCCTTCTAATAATTTCCTCTTAAGATGAAAGTTGGTTTGTTCTCTCTCTCGTATAGAAATACCGCCTTTTCTTATCATTCCTTGCAATATTCATTATGTTATACATGATTATTCCGAGTGTTATAAAGCAAATTTGACAGTTTGAAAATATCAAGTGACGCCCTTAAATTATTAGCCAAATTCTAATTATTTTTGACATTAATTGCCCAATATTGAATTATTAATGTATTCTGTCTAATCTGTTACGTAACGTTAGAATCAATAGGGAGGTAGATATTATATATAACCGAAAAAAAACACACACATTAGGTATACACAATGAAATATTAAAGTAAGACATTCAACAATATTGTAGTGATTGAGAACACAAGTAGGGACAATTGAATGTATTTAAGCCCAAAATTACAGGAAATTCCACTGAAATCTGACAACTCTACACTAATCAGTTAATTTTCAGACTACTGAGGAATCCCACAATAGAACGAAACAGCCGTCCAGTGCTTCCAAGTTTTCCACGATGGTCTAGTTTCAATTGACTCATGATTTTAACTATAAAATGTACAGACTATCAATCTTGACTATTCCTTCTGCAAATATCAATCCATTGTCTCTGATTATTATTGTTCATACATTTTTATATCGATTGCACTTCGTTCCCATTCTTTCCTTATCGATCTTCTACTGAAAGACACTCAATGGTCGATCATTATCATCATATACTACTTATATGGATATTACTTACTTACTTATTTACTCTTGTTACCCCTTGTGGAGAAGCGTAGGCCGCCCACCAGCATTTTCCATCCAACTCTGTTCTGGGCAATCCTTTTCAGTTGTTATTCTGCCTTTTTCATATCTGCTTATTCCTTCAACTCCCAGGGCAGAGTTTAAATGGTTTGAATTACTTTTTCTGGTTAGCGTTTTTTTAGTGAGTTAGTTTTTCTACGGGATGTAGTCGCTAATCCCATGCTCAACCTTTCTCATTTACCCGGGCTTGGGATCGGCAGTAACTCTAGAAGAGCTACAGGCGTATATGGATATAAGTAACCCACATCACAATATTAATATCATGAATGAATCAAATAATAAACTATCATTACAGATAATAAGATGGTAGAGAAGGTTGGTAGCTCAGATGGAATCCTATACAACAATTAACTAACATTAATCTATTAATATAATTTAAAGGTCAAGCTATAATTACTCAATTAAAACAAAGCTAGGAAATGGTTACTAAGATACATTTCAAGTATTCAATATCTATGATTACCCTATTAGTAACCGAAATTATTGATTTTATTAATAATTTATCATATGATGATAATTGAATTTATAAACAATGAAAATTAGAATATCAATGAAAGAAATCTGAAAGAACTAGATGGTTATATCATTCTTGTATGTGATTGTTCAACAGTATATATCTACGATTCTTTGTGTGTGGAGGGATTCGAACTTATGACCTATTGGTCTGATGTGCAAGTGTTTAACATGTAGATCCATGACGTGACCACCATCTAATGGTGTTAATGTTAATGAATCATGAATTCAACGATTAAATGACTAAAATCTCTACAATATATATAATTTAGATTAAATAACTGGAAAAAGTGAGATTTCTGTAAACTTCAACATATGGATCCATAACTAGATCCATCTAATTTTGTGATTCAGTTTGAAACACTAAAAAATATCCCATTAAGCTATTCATGATAACGATGACATGTTACTTAACTGGTATTAGGTGTGATGTTATTTACGAAATGGAGAGGAAGAAAAGAGAATATCCGGCGCGTTAACCGGGCTGGTGGATACAGAAAATCCACCTAGGGGTGTTAGAAAACCCTTATTCCAAACCAATGGTGCACATGGGCTACAGGATCCTGGTCACCGGCTATCATGGGACTGGATCTCCTCACAATGCTCCACTACCTTGTGGATCAGATCTTTAGGTCAAAGTTTCCGAGTGTGGCCTCCTAAGAAAACCACTTCCTTCAGTTTGGGCACCTGGGCGGTATTGCATCCCTCACACAAATCAAATGAGATTTGTACGGCGCATGTGTATATGGTGCCCCTTTTGTACCAATATTTATATGCTACAAATGTCAACAGACATAAGTAGTATGTATCATCAATCGGAAGTGAAATACCTGGCTGTAGAAAATTAAGAAGGTTGAAGAAAACAGAACAATAACAGGGAATGATTGCAGTGGAAGCGAAGAAATAATGAATTGTGAGAAGATTGCTTGATGTTGTGCAAATGAATTATTTACTACATGTAGGTATCATAACCAAGTTTTGATTTGATAATTTTGAATAAATTGACCATTGGGTGGATTGTTATAAATAAATAAATATATTTGTAATATCCCAATGAGTAGAAAAATTAGATTTTCTGACGTTTCGTGACTTAGTGTAAGCCACTTCTTCAGAGAATAAATAACCAAATTAACCATAATCCAAGTTTAAATAGTACAACGGAACAATCCAAGAATATTAGGTGAGATCAATCAAAAAACAGGTCTGAATAGATCAATATCATGTCATTTCATTTCGTTCAAAGTGATTCATAAGGGATATGTATGTAACTTTGTGTGTATGTGTGCA